ATTGGGTCACCTGTCCCTTCTCTCTCCAGCTAGATGGCCCCCCGGCCGTGGCTCTGGGCCAGTGCCCGCTGGTGGGGCCAGGCCCCATGCACCGCCGCCACCTGCTGCTCCCTGCCAGGGTACGTCCGGCTGCTCACACCCACCCGCCGCCGCTGCCTCCGCGTCCCCGCCTAGCAGCTCGAACCCCAAGCCGCCTCTGCTTAGCTGCGTCTCTGTGGGGCTGGGCCGCTGCCGGGAGGGAGGGTGCTTTGGCAGCCAATCAACACAGGCCTCTAGAAAGCAGCCAATGACGAGCTCGGACAAGACGAGGCTTGCGAGCCGACCAACCACAGCTGCCTGAGTTGTTGGGGGTGGGGCGAAATATGAATCTATTTACGAGCGGAGGCGGGGCGAGCCCCAGCAGCCAATCAGGGGTCCGTTTACGCTGGTGCTGATGCTGCCTTCTCGCCCTCAGGTCCTTAGGCCTGGCCTATCGGAGGCGCATTCCCTGTTCCTGTTCGCCGCTGCTCTGGCTGGTACCGCCGCCCTGGGCTGCACTGGGTTGGTGGCCTACGCAGGCCATCTCGCCCGGGTCTGGCGCCCCCCAGGAGCCGTCTTCGCCCCCTGAACTTTAGAGCCCCAGCCTGTCCTCCACTCGGGCCCTGCTGCAGGGTTGGGTGACCGGGCTCGGCCCAGAAGCCACTTCCACAGCCTCCCCATTCACACCACTCCAAGTGTGGTCTCCACCCCAGCTCCAGCCTTGTGATCTGGCCCGCCCTCTGGCGGCCGGGGAGGGAGGAGCCGGGTCCGAGGCCGGAGCGCGGGGCTAAAAGGAGGCTTGTAACCCGGAGTGGTGCTGCTGCTGTTGGGTGGAATCGCGGACCACTTCTTCCGGCCTGGCTGAGGCCACGACGTAGATGGGCAACCTGCGATCTAGAGAAGGCAGGAGGGCCAGAGCTCAGCCATCCGTTTTTCATCCTCTATGCACCCCACCCACATCGGCCCGAAAACCACAACTCCTCCTTGTGCATGAGGCCTTGCTCTCCCGGGAACGTTCTCTGCGAGAGGAGAACGTCTAGCGCGAGCCCCGCTGCTCTCTCGGGAACCGTTCCCTTTTGCTAGCCCCGCTTTTTCGGGGCCTCCCGCGCCCTTCTCACGTGCGCTGCTCTCGGAGCCACAGCTGGCTCCTCCCGCCTCGGCGGTTTGGGTATTTATTGACCTGTCCTCCGACCCGCTGAAGGCTCCAGGACCCCAGCACCCGAATGCACGTTTTGGATGCACTGAAACCCCGACCTTCCTCGGTATTTATTGTCTCTCCCCACCTACGTACCCCACCCCCGATCCTCGCGAATAAAAGGCCCTCTTGTCTGCCCAAAGCTCTGAACTCCTCGGTGTCTGATGTTTGCGTTGCGGGACAGAGGTTGCCCAGGGGGCCAATCAGAAGGCGAGTGGAGGCGGCCAATGGCCTTGCGGGGACTAATCAAAGCGGACGTATCAGGGGTGTGGGTGGGGATTCGAGGCCGACCAATAGGAGAAGGCAAACGGACAACCCCCGCCCTCGAGACACCGCCTGTTGTCCAGCTGTGGCCCAGCTGTGCCACAGGCTGGCTGGGAAGAAGGGGGCTGGACCAGCAACGCGCGCGCGTCCAGCCTCCCACTACTGCGCCTGCGCAGGCCACGCGCATCCGTTCCAGGGACTTAAGTTCCAGAAAAGTTACAGCAAACTTTCTAGCCTGTTTCGCCCGCCCCTTCTCCTTGTCGGACCCGCCCCCCTGTGGAGCCGGGAATTCTGAGGGGCGGAGCGCAGGCCGAGATGGGGAGTGTGGGGGCCTTCAGAGGACCCTGGAGACGGAGGCATACTGAAGCTCAGTCTCGGAGTGGAGGTGGCTTTGCGCCCTTAGCTCTCCCGGGCGGCCCGTTAGCTTCTCCGTTGTCCCGATGGGAAACTGAGGCCCTGAGCCAGAAGCACATGCGGGGGGAGGCAAAAAGAGCGGCCTGAGGCGGAGGGAAAACAAAGGGAGAATCACGGACAGACGAAGAGGGGAACGGGCACACACAGACACTGGGAGAGAGACCCTATTGGGGCGCTGGGCCTGGCATAGGGGGGGATTCGCAGGGTCGACTGGGGGAGAAGATCGGGAAGCGCGAACGGGGAGGCGGAGAGG